TTTTTTTTTTTTGCATATTTAGGGTGCACCAGGAACTCCCGGCCGAACTGGACCAGAAGGCCCGGTCGGTGAACCGGTAAGAAGCCGTGAATTGCATTTATGTAAACAATGTTCAGGTTAGCTCAGTTGGTAGAGCGCCAGACTGCTGTGCGGGAGGTCGAGGACTTGAGCCCCAGAACCAACACTCAAGGTCTTAATACGATTGTTTGTCTTTACACTCTAGGGTTTTGCAGGCGTCCCGGGCTTAAACGGATTTGCTGGCAAAGATGGCAGCAGGGTAAGTGTTAAACCTTGTCTTAGACTACCTGAGCTCCTCGTAATGATTTTGAACAATTATTGGCCATTTTCACACCGGAAGACCGACAAGTCGTCGGACGATTTGTTCGTCTGACGCGTTCAAGACGGACAACTCATCTTGTGTTGGTCATCGTAAATTCTTATCTCCACGAACAAACAGACGATTTAAAAGCAGGGGGTCTGGCACTAACAGGCTTGGTTACCTTGCTTTTAGAAAAGATGGCTTTCGCCGCCATCTTTCCGCCCGCCATGTAGCAAATTGACGTCAGTTTTTCATGCGTCTGTCCTGTTATTGCTCATCAATTTCGTCATAACATTGTCAAAGGAGCTGTGGATCCACGAGACGATAGCCAAGTGGATCCACAGACTACTTTGACAATGTTTTGAGGAAATTTGAAAAATGGTCTTAGGAGACGGACAAATTGATGGACAAATATAAGCGACTTTTTACGACCAAAACTTTGTTCATTCCGTGTTCACACCAAGATGACTTGTCTATCGCAGACGACATTTCCGTTCAAACAATATGTCCGTCTCTGGAGTGGAAACGGCTGTTGATTTTCACATCTTCGTCAAACTAGTTCGCAGGGCTTTTCCCTTGAAATTGAAAGGCGAAGCCCTGGGAACGAGGTTGCAACTTGGTAAGCAGACCATGAATGTTAGAAGATAGATCGGTTCTGTTTTTTTTTTAAATTTTTCCAATTTCGTAAACAGGGCTACCAAGGTGCGCCTGGAAAACCTGGAGTAGATGGACTGAAAGGACAACCTGTGAGTGCCCTGTATTACCTTTTACTGGTATCACGCTATAGAAATACAGCCAATCAGAATACAGGAAAGCCATTGTTTATTGTACGGTGTTACACCCAACCTTCCCATCGTGCGCTGCGAACTTATTCCTTCCTAAATTTAGAAAACGGCCCCATTTCCAGTTTCTTTCAGCTATTGTTTGGGCCAGTTTAGAACCAAATTTTTTCCTCGACTTCAATTTTGAGGTCGAAAACGCAGGAGAAACAGAGGTTTAGGAATGTTGTCGAGATCGTAGATAATAGGAAGCGAGTTAATAGCCATTGAAAATGAAGTGGTTACTGTATTGTCTGTGGCATGGATATTGCATGGTATACCACGAGAAAATGTAGTATAACTTATGAAAACAGTGTTAAAGAAATCGCGTCGGCGTCCTGCTCAAGGATTTTTTCCTCTAAAGTGGACGATATAAAAATTAAAAGGAAGATCAGCCTTTTTTTCCCACTTTCCTATCTTCCTTTTCTTGCTATTCTCTCTCTATTGTTTTCATCGCTTGGAATGATTTTAAGGCCTTTAGGAGTCGTGAAATCAAAGTGTATATGAATGATTTGGTGCAAAGTATTGTCACGGTTTTCATAAATCCAGCCATATATATGTAGTATACATTTGTGTACACTTCATCCATCACTATAGTAAGAGAGAATCAGATATCTACTTGATTGTCAGTCAATATGTGGATACGTCGCTCGTGAGCATGCTAAAAGTGTGTGTGTTTTTAATATACATTACAACTTTTTTGTCATAAATTAGGGTCCTGACGGTTCAAATGGAGACGATGGCGAGCCAGGAGTAACTGGAGATGAAGTAAGAAGATACATTGTCATAATTAAACACAGCCACCGTGAATGACGTAAAACTTATTTTACGCATCGCAGAGCTCATAGATAAAAACACCCAGTGTAAATCATGATTTACACCGACTTAACCATATCACTCTAAGAGGGTTAGAGTTGTATCTGGATTGCATTTTACATCAGGTAATAAAAATCACTTGAAACTCATTGGTGGAAATACCTTTCTGATCCAAAACACTGCATACACAGAGACGCATCGTCAGAAGAATACTATAACATCACATTCAGTTACAATCGGACCTCCCGTGAGCGAACATCCTTAGGACCTCGAGGTTTTGTCCACTTAAATTTTGCGCTAAGTGACCGTAAGGGGAGTCGCGACTGAAATTTATCTGTGCGAGTTACACAATCTCTTCACCTTTGTAAGTCCAATGATAACTACTAGAGTTGAAGTATCATTAATGGGACAGTGGTTTTGCAGGTAAGATATTTTTAGAAAGCCAATTGCAAGGCAGTATGATAGGTACACTCTCCTAGTTATCAGCTCCTTATATCACGTGAATCCTGGATCATCGTTTTTATCGTTTCACCATTGGTTTCTCCACATTCATGGCGTTTAGTATTCCAGTCAGCCATGTTATTTGCCATCAAGTTTAATCTGTTTGCTGTGGCGTTTAGCATCTAGTCAGCCTTGTTATTTACCATCAAATTTAACTTGTTTGTTGCGGCGTTTAGTTGTCCAGTCAGTCATTTTATATACCATCATGTTTAACTGTTTGTTGTGGTGTGTCATTTCTTGTAGGGGGACCAGGGCGAGCGAGGCTCTCCGGGAACTGATGGGGTAGGGGGACCCGTAGGATTGGTTGGGCCTACCGGTGACCCGGGCGAAGCTGGATTAACTGGCGAAGAGGTAAGGAATACAACTGAACACGAACCAACAAAACCTGATCAATGAATTTTGAAAGAGTAAAACTGCTTTGAACTAGCATCACATCAAGAGGGACTAGTGATACTCTTAGTTACCTTCCGTTTAGAGAAAGTGGCATCATTAAGAGCTTCAATGATGCCATCCATAAATATTTTCGCCTTTCTTACTCCGTTGACGACAAACGAAAGAATAAGCCAAAGCTAGGATCTCCCAGAATGGCAACTTTTCTTGCGGTTGACGAAGCGAGTTATCAACTGGTTATTGAAAGTCTTCTATTGTTAACATTATGCCAATAAGCCAAAGGGAGACAGCGTTATTGTTGGAGGAGCACTTCCTAAGAATCAACTCCTTGTTCAGCATTGTTCATCGAGTTTTTCTGCTCGTCGCTTGACATTGATGGCAGCAGATTTCAAATGGCTTAAGGATTGACCATTCACTCTCTGAATAGAAAATTACGCAAATATTGTGGGTCTTCAGTTAGTGTGGGTCATGGATGAAACGGTCAAATGAAAAGTACCGAGCCGTACCTTCATGAGGTTGTGTTGAGAACTTTATTATCCTGTACGAGATAGTTCATAACTTCGAACTTTTTTTTTCTTTCTTTTCAAACTTTTTTTCAAACTGGTTTACGAGATAGTTTTAGAAATTTTTTTCAGGCTTTAATTTCACAACTGCTTAAGTTGTGTGTATAACTGCGATGATCAATCTTGTCTTCATATTTTTCTCCGCAGTTCAAACATATGATGTTTTATATATTCACTTCTATAGTTCAAACTGTTAGGTCTGTGAATGAAACCCTTTGAGCGGAAATTCCATGTTTTGTGACTTCTTTTAAGAAGTTTGGAAACTAAATTTGGTGTTTTTGAATTTGGACCGTTAGCCTCGTTGCGTTTAAAATTATGCAGGGTTACCAATTCGTGAAACGTATTTCTAATATTTAAGAAATGGCTTGGCAAAATTTAGTCGGTATTGGGCTCTAAATAAGTGAAGTTTACCGCGTACATATTTGATATTGGACA